AGCACTAAGTCCCTGCACTTATAGCCCTGGACCTTGCAACCTCCGAAGGCACCTTAGTCTGCAGCACGCAATGCTGCAGCAAGCTGGGCTCACGACGCCCAGCAGCAATTGAGCTACACTCAATGATATGAGGCATGCTAGGGTCCCTTATTGCCTAGGTTTAGGGTTTAGGGTTGTCATGCTTATGATTCGTATCGACACTCATTAGCTCACATCAGAGAGTATTCTGTATCGTTTTTCGGGTGTACCACCAGGGCCCGAACAGACGCACGAAGGTCTTGCAGCACATCCTGCTATTCGGCTTGATCCTGTCCGAAAGTGCATTTGCTCTCAAATATATCGGGATCACAGATCCTATAGGTATCTGTCAGGTCAGAAGGGCTTCGATCGTTTATGGTTGCCATGATTGGAGAGATCTAAAGCTGCTGGCTGCTTCTTTGGGCCGACATATGGCTCGAGCTTTGTTGCTGGTTTCTCTTGAAAAGCCCAGAGTAGACTCCAGATCTCTTGGGCATCATCTTGCCAGTGACGCAATGTGCCGCCGTTACCTCAGCTTCGTCACCCACACCACGAACAAGACACTCGAGGACTATTTTGCTTTGTTCCGCCGCCTTGCCATCGTGGACTTGCTCCTTGTCGTCGCATACGGTGTGCAGGTCGGTATCAACATTTCGCTCATGGTCGGCGACGCCGACGCAGACAGCTTCGTTCGAATGCTTCTGCTGGTCCTGGGTGTCTGCGTAGTCGTCATTTGGCTTTGTGACGCGGCGCTGGTGACGCACTTCGGATGCCGCGTGCGCGAGGTCGCCACCAGCGACTCAGTGCGTCCAGACAAAGTGCAGGATCTCATCCAGAGGAAGCGACTCTGCCTGGTGGTGTCCTCCTTGGGACTTGCCGTTTACTTGGCCCGATTCTGTGTGGAGCTGTGGCAGGCCAGAGAGCATGGGCTCGTGGAGGCAATGTCACTGCCCACCCTCATACTGGCGCTGGTGCTGCTGGTAAAGGTGCTGCGGCTTCTGGCGCTGAACTCTTTCAGCAAGTGGGTTAGAATGACCGCCGGCACTTCCAGCGTCTGACACACCGTCAACCAGTGCCCCATGCGCCCGAATTTTGCCCGATGGATGCCACATGAGCATCGGACTCCCCAGAGGCGTGGGATCCTTAGAAGATCTTGAAAGTCTTCAACGCACGCTCTTCCGCGGGTGCGGGTGCTGCGCGTGTGCGTGTGTACAGGCTTTGTACAGGCTCCTTGCTGGAGTGTTTGGGGTTTAATTAGGGTTTATAGGGTTTAGGGTTTAGCTGGGAGGGTTTAGGGTTTATAGGGTTTAGGACTTAGGGTTTAGGGTTTATAGGGTTTAGGGAGTGTTTCGAACACGCTGAGTCACCCCGCGGCAGTGCACGGCGACAATTGTAAAGCCGTCGCAGGAAAACAGATTCGACAGAACCTTGGGGAAGGGCCTGAACATTTGCCAACATGTTTCCGAAATATTCCTTATCAGTGCTCCATTGCAAAAACCTAACCGAAATAGAAACTACCCCTAAGACCAATCTGCTATTGTCAAGGGCCCAGATTTTACCGATGCCAGCACTCTCGGCTTTTGTCTATGCACAGGAGCTGCTAAATGATCGAGTCACGCCTTCACACGGCGCCAGGGCGCGGAGAATGTCCCTCGTACTCTGTTTTTCAGACCGCTTCCAGGGTGCTCTGTCCTAGCTTCCTCACTGGATGTATTCTCTGACTCTAGGCCCTCCATACTCCTGACAAAATATTCCGTACCGTGGACAATGCCAGCCTTTATCTATCAACAGTCTAATGCTAGTAAGTCCAAGGACCAAGGTTTGCGACATGCAGAGTTCTGACGCCAAAACCCGAAGCAGCACACCCCGAAATCCTCAACC